CCCAAAAGAAACCCTGTGCCCATTAGCAGTTACCCTGCATCTCTCTTCACAACCACAAATCTTTCTTTCTCTGTGAATCAGCCTAGTTTGGCGTTTTCATATAAATGGCATTGTACAATATGTGGCCGTTTTTGTCTGGCTTATTTCCCTGAGCATGATGCTTTCACTTAGTGTACATCACTCCTTTTTATGGTCAAATCATATCCTATTGTCTTCATATACTGCACTTTGTTTACCATTGATCAGTTGATAGTCATTTGGGTTGTTTATACTTTTTGGTGATTGTGAATAATGTTGCTGTAAACATTCACATACAAGTTTTTGTATGGGCATATGTCTTCAGTTCTCTTGGGTATGTGTTAGGATCAGAAATCTGAGTCACATGGTAACTCCATGTTAAACTTTTTTGAGGAACTGCCAAACTGTTTTCCAAAGTAGCTGCATGATTTTACATTCCCAGCAGTGTAGGAGGGTTCCAGTTCTCCACACTCTGCCCAACACTTGTTATTGTGTCTTTTGATTATTGCCTTTCTAGTGGGTATGAAGTGGTAGCTCAGTGTGGTTTTCATTTGCATTTCCCTAATGACTAATAATGTTGAGAATCTTTTCATGGTATTTTGTTCTCCTAGCCTTACTGAAACAATTCAAGCTTTCAAAAACATTTCACACTGTTAGTGATACCCTCTTTGAAATTTGTTCTCTGGGCTGTTGGAACTTACCCTCTCTTGATTTTGCCTCTTTCCTCACTACAGCCTTAAATTGGGTCCTACTTCTCTTCCCAAATGTCAAAAGTTAGAATGGCTCAGTGCTCACTATTTACTTTATACCATTATGTTTTTCTTCATGACACTTATTTCTATCCAAAATTAGAATGTAAAGTTAGTCATTTCCCTTATCTTCTGCATCACCCGTTGGAATATAAGCTCTATGGGGACAGAGGCTTTATCTTGTCCATTACCATATCCCTCGTTCCTAGACTAGCACCTAGAAATAGGTATTTTTGAGTGAATGAATGTATACTTTAGAAAAGTCTACAGAAGTGTTACATGAATAAAAATCAGGATTCCATAGTCAAATAAGTTTCTAGAATGCTATATTAGATGAAGTTAAATAAGCATCTTTTGTGTGGAAGTTCTCATACTTTAATGTGATAATGATCTTTGTGAAATGTTATTTGACCATGAAAACATTTTTGGTGTGGAATGTGTCATGGGACTTTAAAAAGATACTCTTCTAACTCAAGCAGCTAAACTGCAACTCCTGGCAAATTTGTGGAAGGCTTTTATTAAACAGATGTTTTGCTGGCACTTAGAAAAGTAAGTTGTGATCACCACAGCTTAATATGAAACCACTAAGAACAGATTATATCAAATTACCCTCATCTCTGATATTCATAGGGTTTTATCAGAATGTCATTCTGTTCGAAGGCCATAGTGATGGTATTTTTTCACAGCAATGAGGCTTTGAGCTGGCTTTATCATGATTTCCCTGTTCTGAGAAGCCGAGTGGGTTGTCAGCATTCTGTGATCAGCCTGTCACTTAAGAATTTATGTCAAGATATCAGGGTGGGTGGAGATCTATGCCCTTGGAAAAAAACCACCTGTACAGTGAGCTGTTTACTGTCTTTAGTGTGTCACAGTGAATTTCAAGTGGTTACCAGTGATCAAGAGTGGCTTTTCTAGAACTTGGTGGTAACATAGCCTATAGAGATAGCCCTGAACACTAAACCCAGAAGAGGAGGATAAAGAAAAGGAGGCAGGGGTTAGACCTGGACCCTGGAGGTTCCCAAGTGCAAGTTCGCAGCCCACTGTATGTTAGTAGTGGATACTGACAGGCATATTCCTGAGGACCAGGCAAGGAGAGTGGTCAGAGTGCAGAAAGCCAGAGAAACATTCAGAAAGATATCTCCACATACTGGACCTAGTAGCTCACACCTGTAATGCCAGCTACTTGGGTGGCTGAGGAGAGGGGATTGCTTGAGGCCAGGAGTTTGAGACCAGACTGGGCAACATAGTGAGAACTCCATTGCTAAAAATATGAAAATAATAATAATAATAAAAAGTTAGCTTGGTGTGGTGGCATGCACCTGTAGTCCCAGTTTTGGGAGGCTGATGCAGGAGGATCTCTTGAGCCTGGGAGTTGAAGGCTGCAGTGAGCTGTGATTGTATCACTGTACTCCATCCTGGGTGACAGAGTGAGATTCTGTGGGGAGAAAGAAAAGAAGGAAAGGAAGGGAAAAAAATAAAAATGGAGGAAAAGAAGAGAAAGAAAAGATAGAAGGAAGGAAAAGAGGAAAAAACAAGAAATGAGACAAAGAATCTACACATAATGCAGTAGAGCAGGCAAAACAGCGAGTGACCTCAGTGCCCACACTGGCAGAAGCGAGGTAAGAAACCAGATGGATATTATAAGCCAGTGGTTCTTGAAGTGTGGCATTAGACCAGCATCAGCTGGGAGCTTGTTAGAAATGTGGACTTTCAGGGCCCTGTAGTCTACATTTTAACAAGCCCCAAGTACAGGTGGAAGATTGAGAATGGCTAGTCAAAGCAACAGAAACCAGCTTTTGCAAAAGAGATGCTTAAACAATGCCCTCATTCAAGGAGCTTCTTAATTTTTCTTTCTTTCTTTCTTTCTTTCTTTCTTTCTTTCTTTCTTTCTTTCTTTCTTTCTTTCTTTCTTTCTTTTTCTTTCTTTCTTTCTTTCTTTTTCTTTTTTCTTTTTTTTGCTGGTACAGAAATCAATCCCTGAATGTGATGTCTACTTGGTATTCAGGTTTAAATGTGTCTTTTTAAATAATAAAAGTAATTCTTGTACATTTCTAGGTAATGAATAGTAACTACATGCAAAGCTGAATGCTCAGCACATGGTTAGCAGACTTAATCCTCTTAACCCTGTGAGGTAGCAACCATTATAATCCCCATATAGATAAGGATACTGACACATAGACTTTGTGAGGCAAGGTCACACAGTTAGTTTGTGGTAGGTCCAGGATTTGTATTAGGACGTTTAAGTGCAAAACACTGGTCTGGAACTTCCTAGAATGTACAAGGAGGTGATGAAAGATGGATAGATGGGAGGGAGGAAGAGGGGAAGAAAGGAGGGTGGGGGGACAGAAAGAAGAAAGGAGAAAAAGAGGAAAAGAAGAAAGGATAGCAGGAGATTCTGGAATTAAAGAGTGAGTGAAGGCTCCTTCTAAGGGTGTTTTGTATCCTTGTGCTATGTTATTTTCCTGGTTTTGCTTTTAAGTCAGCCCATCTAGAGATTTCAATAGATTTCAGCCCAGGCCCACCTGCCTGGCTTTCTCCTAAGAATTTAGTTTCATGGGTAGTTTGTGATTTATTTTTTCCTTGTTTGTTCTTTCACTTTCTCTCTCCATGCTCACATAATCTTTGTGACTTAAATACACACTTGGCCCAGCTGCTGAGAGATCTGTGACTGGCTTTATCATTGACTGGTGAATATTCTGGCAAAAGCATGTCACTCTTTGGGAACTGTGCTCAGGGGCTGCTTTGAAGCTCCTCTCTGCTTCATTCACCTTGGACCACGTTGTACCCTACCTCAGCTTTAATAGGGTATCATTTCCCCCCTCCTTGTACTGCAAAGCCACAGGGATACTTAATCTTATGTTCTCTGGAGGCCTTTTGGAGCCTTGGAGCCCGATCGCAGTAATCAAGAAGGGGTGGGTGATCAGGGATGAGGTTTGACCTACTGTCAGCCTCTCTCTATTTAAGCTCTTCATTTTCACATTCCTCCCCATGGTTTGTAATAAAAGTGGAACACAGCTCAAGGGCAGAAATGAGGTTTAACTTCACCCAAGGTACAATAGAGGCTATTTGGAAAGTAAAACTTTCAAATGGCAGTTTAGCCTTGAAGAATATATTGAATTAGATATGCTCTGAGCCTTGATTCACGATCATTGCATAATAGCATTGCTATGTATATTACCTGGGTGCTTTAGTAGACTAGGGAAATGGGCTATTTAAAAGATTAAGTTCGCAGAATCAGTGCATGTGCTAATGAAACACGTGGGAGCAAAAGCCAAGAGGCCTCATTTCCGGTGCTGACTTTTACTTCCTGTGGTGCTCTGGCCTCACCGAACATTGATTTCCTCTTCTCTGAAATGGAGATCATAGTAGACCTTGCCTCACAGGATTTTTTTTTTTTTTTTTTTTTTTTTTTTTTGAGAAGGAGTCTCACTCCGTCGCCCAGGCTGGAATGCAGTGGCGTGATCTTGTCTCATTGCAAGCTCTGCTTCCTGGGTTCACGCCATTCTCCTGCCTCGGCCTCCTAATTTTTTGTTTTTGTATTTTCAGTAGAGACGGAGCTTCACCGTGTTGGCCAGGATGGTCTCGATCTCCTGACCTTGTGATCTGCCCCCCTTGGTCTCCCAAGGTGCTGGGATTACAGGTGTGAGCCACTGCGCCCAGCTGCCTTACAGGATTTTTAAGAGTACTAAATGACAGAATACCAAACACACAACTTTCCTTATCATAGGAAGTAAATGCTTAATAAATGAGAACTGTTTATATTACTATTATACGATTATTTCTCAAAGCTCTGAGTCTGTAATTCTGCCCATACTACTTGCTACTCTCATTCATTCCCTCTTTACTTATGCAGTTCTCTGTTAGCCAATTCTTATTTCTTGTCAGATTCAGAGTCATGATGGTCACCTTTGAAGATGTGCTGTCATTTCAAAGCACTGGCTAACTACAACCAAGGCTGACAACCATGAATAATTCCATAGAGCCTCTGAAACACTCTAGCATTTCACTCCAACTCTTATATATATACCACCAAGTTGTTCTCTCTTGCTTAGTGCACTCTCTTCTCGGCAGAATTCAGGTATAGTTACCGAAGGTGGATATCAACTTCCTCTGAAAAATAACCCAGCAGGAACCATCATGGAGTAATTGGGCTTCATGAGATCATCACTGTCAAGTCTAAAAATACACGAGGAGATAATCACATTTACTTTTTTCTTTCTTGTACATTTTCAGCACGTTCACGTCCATGTTCTTCCCAGGAAGGCTGGAGACTTTCACAGGAATGACAGCATCTATGAGAAGGTGGGTCTGCTCTCTCTGATCTTATTGTTTGATCACGGGGACTGTCGTTGGGATGACATCAACCTAATGAATCAAGTATTACCCTAGATATGGTCTGAAATGGAATTCTATTTAGTCTGACTTGGAAAGTGGCAGTAGAGGTCAAGGAGTCAAGAATGGCCATCATGGGAACCCAAGACTAATTAATTATAATGATTTTCTTTTTCAAATGAAAACCAGCAGAAAACAAGTGTCTTGTGATTGCTATCCTGTCATTTACCAGGACAGTAAATATTTGCATGGAGATACGGCCCAGAATCTCCATAGAAGAAAACCTATGGTGCTACTGGTGAAAATCAAGCAGATTGATACATGATTGTTTTAGTCAAATGCTACACTTAATTTTTAAAACACTTTGGAACTCAGCTTGTCATTCCCAACAGCATTTATTCAAAGTGAAACTTTGAATTATTGTGAGGAAAAACTATGTTGGTTTGAATAAGTGTAACTCACATATCATATATTAAAGAAGTTAATTTATTTCTAAGTACTCCTATTCAAAGATATAAGTGTAAAACCACTACAAACATGAATTAGTAAGAGCCAGGTGATCCTTACCTAAAGCCCTGTCTACATGAGAACCTTCAGATGCCCATTTCCACCGTGTGGAGTGTAGAGCCTGTCATGGATCAGGCTATTATAAAATATAAGGTGATTTCAGTTTACCTGTTTATTCTAGCCAAAGAGGGGAAAGTATGTCCCCCACATGGTAGAGCAGATTAGATAGCACTAGTGCCCTGGAGTGATTGGTTAAAAGGACTTTGAGGCTGTTTGTGGATGCAAGGAAAAGTGCTGTGATTGATTAGCAATGCCTGCCAAGGGCATCAGATAGGAGGGAGGTATCATATTTGCCATCTATTTGACATTCCTGTTCTAACTCTTTGAGAATGCATTTTAAAACACATTGTTTATCTACATTGTTTATCATGTGGCTCTGTCAAATAAACCACATGATTATCTCTACCTCGTTTCCAGGGACCAGTTAAAATCTATGCAACTTTTTGTGTGTGTGTCTATAGGGCTTCTTTGCAGTACTGACATTAAAATGGCAACTCAAATCCTGAAAATAAGGAACATAATTAATGTTTCTGGGATGCATTGGATTTCGTGAAGTGGCTAGTTATTCTGCCTTTAGGATAACCCTTACTATCTTTTGCTTCGTATGTTTTCCAAGAACTGTAGTGGATGTGCGTAGAGTGGAAATAATCTAGTCACCAGTACCTAAGTGCTGATTTGCGGACTAGTTGCTGCAGATCTCAATTCTCAGGAGGTCCTATCCCTGGAGATCCTGATCGAGTAGATTGCACAGCACTCAGGAATCAGTCATTATATAAGGAAATCCCCAGGAGGCTCTGATGCATGACTACCTTTGGGAATAGGCTCTCTGGGTTTTCCAAAGCCATATTCTATAAAACTATAATTTGAACTCATTTTCATTGGATGTGGAATGCAGTTTGGGGATTGATAAGGGCTTAGTTCACATTGGAAGAAAATCAGAATTATAGAGTAATTATAAAGAGATGTAATTAAAATACAAATACCAATCTCAGTCATGTAAACTAAGGTTAATAAAATGTTGCCAGATACAGACTGTTTTAATGAATAAATTAGCACATGAATTATATACTAGTAAGTACTGCTAAGGTAGCATTAAAAGTGCTTGAAAACACTGTTTTCTTAGGCTGAACAGTCACCTTGAAATCTTGTCGATGTTCCAAATGTGCTTGAAACAGAAGCTGCATGGTTACATTTCAGCCCAGTTCAAGACACAATGTACAGCACTGTGGTTGGTGTATGGCCTCGCTCTCCTCTCTTATTCTTTTGCCCTTGTCTGCATGCTCTGATGGCCCCACAGATAAGAAAACACATGTTTCTACTTCCCACATTTTGGAGGATCATCTCAGGAGAAGGAATTACTGTAAGAGTTCTTTCTTTTCTTTTTTTTTTTAAATTAGTGGTATAAGTCATATGTAGTATAGACAGTATCCACTAAGGGAGATTGTGGTAGAAGACTGTAAAGATTGAAGTCTAGAAACAGGCAGAAGTAAGTTCAAATTCCAGTGGCATCTCCTAACCACATGATATTGAAGCCTGAAAGACTTATTTCAGGGCTTGGTACTTACCAAGAATTTGTTAATAGATAGCAGTTTCTGTTCTTATTGTTATTATTACTATTTTTTTAAGTACCAATGGTTAGTGGAGAACCAGATTCAAAGCCAGGTCATTGGATGTTCCCATCTACCATTCTTTCCAACGGTGAGATTCCCAATTTTCCCTTTGTCTTTAACCATTCATTCTCAGTTTTGTCTTCCTCTTTGTATGAAAATGCTTCTCCAGGCTGAGTATCTAATAACACAGTGTTCAGAAAGAGGCATGAAAAGCATGCAGCACCGCACAGGCATTATTGGTATAGAACTTAATGTACATTAGACCAAGTGATCTTAATCAGAAGCGATGGAGTGATGAGGGACGGCATTCTTTATATTGATGGGAGCACTCACTCTAGATTATGCATCTGTTCAGGACATTCAACAAACAGACTGCCTTGGAGGGTGGGAGGTAGGAAACAGGAACAGCAGGAGGCTGAGCTCCATAAAATGTAATTGTATTTCTACTGCTGCAGACGTAGAAAATTATGCCTAAAGAAGCCCCAGAGTATAAATTGGCTAGGAACATTGTGTTCTTTCTGGGCACTGTTTTAAGATGGTTAGTGACAAATAAGAAGGTTCATAAGAAGGGCGGTTGTGTCTGAAAACAGATTTGGGGAGTAGTTGATGGTGGGAATGTTTTGCCTGGAAAAAGGAAGACTTGTAGAGGGAAGATAGTAACAGAGTCACTGTTTCCAAATTATCTGAAGGGCTGGCAGTTGGAAAGGTATTAAATACATTCTATGTGACTCCAGTGGGTATATCTGTGATTATCGGACTACCAGGTGGCAGATATCATTAGCTCTACATAATAACAGGTCAAAGTGAAAAAACCTTCTGAACACTTAAAGAGTGCCTTACAAGGGGGTGAGCTTCCCATCCCTGGATTCACTCAAGCACAGAGCAGATGGCCACAATTCTTCAAGAAGACATCTACATTTGGTCGCTGGATGGGCCACTTGGATTTGCGATTCCTCTCTTTACACATTTGAACCATTTGATCATTACCGCCATTTTCAGGTTTTACAAGTTCTGTAACAAATAGTGGGGTTTTTTTTTGTTGTTGTTGTTATTAGTATTACAATGTTTGGGTGACTGTCTAGTGAAGCATATTTTCTTTGTTAAGTTCATGGAAATAAAAGGTAAAACCTTTTTTTAAAAAAACATATAGGAAACCACACTTTACTGATTTTTTTCTCATTCCCAGCCCACTTCCTGCTTTTCCTGCAGCTCAGCATTGCATATTGATGGTCCTTGGGCTTTGCTTGCCTCTTCATATGTGTTTTATTTTTGCCTGCAAAGTATTTTTGGTGATTTGCTTTATTGTGGCTGTGAAGTATTTCTTAATGAAGCTAAATGCTGTTAGGCATATTGCTCATTCTCTAGGCCTATGCAGTTGCCATGTCTGCCTCCTACCTAGGCTTTCTTCACTGGCTGATGGTGCATGCATAGCTCCTGAAGGCATTGGAGTTTAAGATCTTTGCCTATTTCATGGGCTGCTCCTCTTCTCTCTGCCACTCAAAGATTACTATTCCCCAGGATCTTCTGTCTGGTATACTGGGCATGCTGTTTATCTGAAACATCTGTTTAACCTCCCTGACTACTCATTTACAGTGCTCTGGCCCCAGGTGAGTTTATTTTGTTGTTTTTTGTTGTTGTTGTTGATTTTAACTTCAAGTTCTGGGATACATGTGCAGAACGTGCAGGTTTGTTACATAGGTATACATGTGCCATGGTGGTTTGCTGCACCTATCAACCCGTCATCTAGGTTTTAAGCCCTGCATGCATTAGGTATTTGTCCTAATACTTTCCCTCCCCATCGCCTTCCACCCCCAACAGACCCCAGTGCGTGTTCTTCCCCTCTGTGTGTCCATGTGTTCTCATTGTTCACCTCCCACTTATGAGTGAGAACATGCAATCTTTGGTTTCCTGTTCCTGTGTTAGTTTGCTGAGAATGATGGTTTCCAGCTTCATCCATGTCCCTGCAAAAGATATGATCTCATTCTTTTTTATGGCTGCATAGTATTCCATGGTATATATGTACCACTTTTTCTTTATCCAGTCTATCATTGATGGACATTTGGGTTGGTTCCAAGTCTTTGCTGTTGTAAATAGTGCTGCAATAAACATATATATGCATGTGTATAGTAGAATGATTTATAATCCTTTGGGTATATACCCAGTAATGGGATTGCTGGGTCAGATGGTATTTCTGGTTCTAGATCCTTGAGGAATCGCCACACAGTCTTCCACAATAGTTGAACTAATTTATACTCCCAGCAACAATGTAAAAGCGTTCCTATTTCTTCACGGACTCACCAGCATCTGTTGTTTTAATAATCGCCATTCTGACTGGTGTGAGATGTTATCTCATTGTGGTTTTGATTTGCATTTGTCTAATGATCAGTGATGATGAGCTTTTTTCCTGTGTTTCTTGGCTGCATAAATATCTTCTTTTGAGAAGTGTCTGTTCATATTCTTTGCCCACTTTTTGATTTTTTGTTTGTTTGTTTGTTTCTTGTAAATTTATTTAAGTTCCTTGTAGATTTTGGATATTAGACCTTTGTCAGGTGGGTAGATTGCAAAATTTTTCTCCCATTCTGTAGGTTGCCTGTTCATTCTGATGCTAGTTTCTTTTGCTGCGCAGAAGCTCTTTAGTTAGATCCTATTTGTCAGTTTTGGCTTTTGTTGCAATTTTTTTTTTTTTTTTTGATGTTTTCATCTTGAAGTCTTTGCCCATGCCTATGTCCTAAATGGTATTGCCTAGGTTTTCTAACAAGTTCTGAAATTGAGACAATAATTAATAGCCTCCCA